CAACTCTGGCTAGGTGACTTAACTCCACTGAAGTCACATGCCTCACCTATGCACACATCATGACAGCTCTCCCACCCACTGGCAAAGCTCAAACAAGGAAAAAAGAGCTTGTCATAGAGCTGGGCTGGGGTTAGGAGCCCACATCAGGACACTGATTTCACTGAGCCTCATCCCTAAGCCTCCAATAGACACAGGTCCTATGAGGGCAGATCCTCTGTACACAATGCCTCAAAACATCAAAACTGCTAGATAGATATTTAGTGAGTGATCAGTTTTGTTATCATTAGCTACTTACTATACTGATATCTAACTATGACAATAGCTAAAAGTATGTAATATGTGTTCATCACAATTTAAAAACATTACTACATATATGAAGTCATTTAATTCTCACCATCATTAAGGCAGGACTACTCCCCGACCTTGCTAAGGAAATGAGACACCGAGGTTAGGTTACTTACCCGCAGCCAGCTGGTTCCTAACACAGCCTGACGGGGCACTGCAGTTGTCTCTGCCATCACAACCCTGGTACGCTTCCCCACAGGAACTCAGTGGCAGAAGCTGCCCCTCACCCACATGCCCACCACATACTCTGCAGCAAGAGGAAGATCAATGAAACCCGGATTCCTGTCCAAATGTTCAGCCCCATCATTACTCTGTGTCCTCACAAGCAACTGCATACAAATGGATGCATTTCATTAAAAGCCTCCTTCCCTTCCTAATCTTCATAAGTAGATTAATTATTTAACCAGTCCAAGAGGGTGTTTAAAAAACCAGTTTATATAAGCAGATAAAGTAAACCCTTTCCTGGGCTCTAAGGCTCAAGGGATTTGGGTCAAAATTAAGTTCTACTTTCTGACTAAGTTCAGTTCTCCATCCCTATAGACCCATTGTCATGAAATGTGAAAACCAAGGTTCCTGCAGAGGTTATTTTGGGCACGGCACTAAGACTATATGCAAAATAAAACCAGATGGTGCATGACGCCTCTCAAAATATCCCTTGAATGGAAGGAGAGTACACTGATGTCAGAGGGACAGCACCTTCCAGCCATTTTTCATATTGAACAAGGCTCTAACTGCCCAGCTAGTTCACAAATAAAGATGGGCAGGAGAAGAATGTGAGATGCTTCCAAAAAGAACTGTCTTTATTATTTAAGAGTGAGATTAAATGACGAAAAATTCTGCTCATCATTGGTGGCTTCTTTTTAATTAGGTGGGCCACGTTAGCCTGGGAATGCATTCCTTTATTTCTAAATTGTCGCAGTCTCTTAAAGAGAGAAACTTGGACCAAGAATTCTTGGCTGGTTTTTTTGCCATATGAACCATTCCACCCATTTCTTTCCATTAATTCTGTTTTCCTATAGTGGAAAAAAAATGGACTCACTGTTTACATCTTTCCCTGGAAATATGAAAGTGATTTGGATTGGCTTCCAATTCTAACATTTGCAAACCTTCTACCCTTTGATCAATTATAGAAATAAAAGCTAAATGTGCCTATAAAACTAAAAATATTCCATCCTTCAACTGGCACTGAACAGCTCAAGGAATCTCCCACTTGCAAAAGGGTAAAGATTACAGAGTAACTGAAATAGGCTAAAGGCTCAGGAGCCAGTTAGACGAATGGGGACTTGGTCACAGAGTATCTGTTTTTTAACAGTGACTTAAACAAACAGAATTTATCATCTGTTCTGGCTGGGATGGAAGGAGCCAACTACTTCAGATAGGCCATGAGTCATGGGTGGAAAAAGGAGAAATTCCTATTGTTGCATATATTTATAAATGTTTAGGAAGTAACAAAACAGCTGCTGCTGTAACTCATAGAGAAAATATATGCATAAACATGTACCCCTGCTGCCACTGGAGCTGGCATCAAGCTGGAAGTTATTCTTCTCTGGGCTGCAAGGCCAGGCACCAATTTTCTGAACATCAGCTGGAAAATTCAGAGACTCCAGCCCCCAGGTAACTGTGGCCTTCAGAGTGACCTTGAAGTAGGGAAACCACTAAGAGGTACCCAAGCTGCTGACCCTCAGAGATTGGGATATATATTGCTATTGTTCTAAGATGCTCCTTTTAGAGTTACTTGTTACTCAGCAACAGATAACTGATCCGCAGATTACTGAGTGTCCTGAAGTCTGCTGCTGCCCTGGATCTTGTTGCCTGATCCTTAGCACTGTAACACTTGTCAGGACAAATCCAAAGCCTATTTCTCTGCTCCCAGAGGGCAGGCAGTGACTGGGCTACCTTTGTCACTTACCATCCAAATACTCAGCATCCCACATAGTACCTAGCATGTGGCCAGGGCCCAATAAACGTTAGAACTGATGAACTATTTCTGTTAAGCTAAGGACCAGAGAGGAAAGAAATCTTCCTCTTATTTATTCTTTAAGAAATAAGGAAAACACAGCAACGCTTGGGAGAACACAGCTATGGAAGTGAGTCTCCTGCAAGATGACAGACGTATGGCTTGGTAAAGGAAGCAAGGTGGGCGAGTCCTGCACCTGGCCGAGCATCTGAACCTGACCCGCACTCATATCTTCCCCATGCAAAGGCTCACTGTCATAGTGCTTGTGCCCTCAGAATCAGAGCCAGACTTCAGGAAGCGAAGGACACACTCAGGGAGCCTGGCCCCATGCTCCAGTGGAAAAACACTGGAGTCTTTGCTCTGTGCTCACTGTCCCTCTGCTCAGGAAGCTTCTTCCTCAGGGCTCACCTTCCTTGCTTTGTGGCAAACTCTTACTTCTCCTTGAAAATGCAGCCAGGCATTGGCTCCTGCAGCTCAGGAGCTAACCATGGCCCTTCCAGCAGCCCCAAACAACTGGGAGCTCCATCTCTCCAGGGCAAAAAAGGGCTATACACACAGAAGCACATAAAAGGCAAACTGGCTCTTACTCTGACCAGGGAGCTACCAAGCCTGGCTCTTTTCACTCTATCTAGTCCCTGAAGTTGAACGCAGGCTGACTTTCCTCAGAACTGGAAACCAAGAAGTGACAAGAAGACCTGAGCAGAAAGTACAAGCAATGTTCCATCCTGTGAACTTGGACCACCACAGGGTAGTAACAGGGAGCAAAGCAGCTGTGAAAACACCTCAGCGGGTGGCAAGGGAAGGTTTCCTTGATGGCCCATCCCCTCCATCCATGGTTACGAAACCTTGTCTACACAGAGCACCCATGGCTTTAGGTCAGCTCCTCTGGGCCCAAAGAATCCAGCCCACTCTGGGAGGAATGGACTATAGGACATGGCTGCTCAGTCTCCAGGGCTCCTGGGGCTTGGAGACATAGACAGCCAAAGAAACCACACATAGCAGCTGCCCAAAGCCATGGCCCCAAGTGAGCTGCTGTGTGCCCAGGGAGGGACAGTATAGCTTTCCTCTGACCAGTCACACTCAGAGGAGACAGATCTGTTCTGAGAAATCCACAGAAACAAACAGGTCAACACAAGTGTGAACTTTCAAGCAAGCTCTTTGGAGCAACAAATCTAAACAAAGCAAGAGGCAAGACTGCATATTCACCAGCTGTGCTCACACACGCACACATATACACACTACACTGCACAGAACGGAAGTCTGGAAGAAAATATAACAAAATACAAATAGTATTTATCTGAGTGGAAGATTATAGGTGTTTTTGAAAACAGTGTTCCTTTATAATTTTTCAGTGTATTTTCCAACATCTCTATAACAAACTAACTATTATAACTGAGGCCAGACAGATATGCTATATCAGAGGAAAGAGTCAGGGGTATGGCTATCCTAATGCTAGTCATAAACTGTCATTCATCATAGGTACATAACAGGGATATAGTCTTTCATCGTTCAGGAAACCAGAAGTCTGAAATCCTAGTGTGGGTACATTTAGCATGTGGGTACATTTTGGGGAGAGACTCTACTCCATGCTTGTCTCTTAGTTCCTCCTGGTTGCCAAAAATCCTTGGCATGCTTTGGCTTGTGGCCACATTACTCCAGTCTGTTCACATGGCATTCTCTCTGTATTTTAAAGTAGGACAGTACTTGAGTATATCTGCAAAGATCCAATAATCAAATAAGGTCATAGTCACATATACGGATTAGGACTTCAGCATATATTTTACAGAAAGGAGGATGTAATTCAACTCATACTAAAACATTGAATCCAAAGAAACACAAGACAAGTATCTCTGCTTAAATATCTGACAGGATCTCCCAGTTTGAAAGTACTAGAGTTGGACTTCTTTGGCTCTACAAAGAAGAAATGGGACTAAAGTATAAAAATTCCCAAAAGACAGGCTTGCTCTCAAAATAAGAAAAACTGAGCTATCCTTGCCTACACTGGTCATCTTGGGTGGGAAATCCTGTCTCAGAAGATGCTGGACAGACTGGAGGCCCACATGTGTCTGATACGGTAGTATTTTAGCGAGCACCGGACTAAGTAATATTAAGAGTCTGGCAGTTTTCTGTGATCCATACAGGCATCACCAGTGGTTTCCACATTGCCCTGAGCTGGCCAGGCTGTCTCCCAACTATCTGTTCAGTATTACACTAGCTTCGCCCCATTCGGACTGGTCAGATCTTAAAGGCAAAGCAGTAGTGTCTGGCTTATTTCTTCTTTTTGGTCTCAAGGAAAGCTGAAGCAAGCACATTCACAACTGAAGAGGCAAAAGGTATCAGCCAAGTCAGGAGACATGGAATTCTGGGAGTTAGACAATAGGAAAAGCCCCACATCCCCGATCTTGAGAATGATCCGAAGCCCTGACAGCCCCAGGAACCTTCCCACATTCCCAGGTCAAAGATGCCAGAGGCCACAACCCACAGATTAGTGTCAGAATTGCTAAGGAGATTTGTTTAAAGGGAGGGAAGACTGTCCCCAGAATAATATTTACATTAGAAATAGCAGTGATAGTGCAAGTTAGGCCTGTTTATCTTTTTTTTTTAATAGAGGCAAAATCTTGTTTGTGATGGGAAGGAAACACTGGTCTCCAAAGCACCTTTTCTTTTCACCCCAACCACAAACAGAAGACTCACTCACCTCTCTACAGGGTCCCTGAGCATGACAATCAGCTTGGCATCTGGCTGAAAGGCGTGGATGAAGTCCTGGGTCAGGAAAGGCGGCTCTCCATCTGTGCTGTTGTCATAGAAGAAACTCCATGCATTGTTATCCCACATGGTGGAAGCGCTGGCTTCCCCTGGAAATAGAAATTCCCGCAAATGAGCAGCTGCTAGGCTGTAGAGTGCAGGCTCCCATTGTGTGTTGGAGGCCAAGCCCAGCTCCCATTCTTCCTCCTAAATATCCATGACAGGCAAGCCCATAGCCATCCCTGGCAGATGGACTCAAGGGCAAACAGAACTGGTGCTCACCCCTGCAGCAGTGACCCTACTCCTACTCTATCTGAAAACCCAGGAGTCCATGAAACACTGAATGCCTCCTCCTGAGCTTCTTTATTCAGGGTGAACAAAAACACAGCCCTTGAAGCCCTTCAGTTTCACAACATTTAATTTTGCTGGTAGCTCATAGCTGTGCAGTATTTTAAAGGCCCACTACGAATATGCTAGATGATTTCCTTCTAAAAGAATCACTAGGAAACCAGAAGCAATCTTAGTCTACCATTCCTGGAACACTAATAGTCATGGAGTACATTCTAGGTCTAACGAGAAGGATGCTCTGCTAGAAGCACAGGGTCTCAGCCTCAAGGTCTGTCTCCTACACGACTATCGGTCCACTATCCTGCTGTGTGAACAGATCCCAGCCCCTGTTTTATCACAGTTCAGGAGGCTGAAGGATGAGAATGTGAAGCCTACCTTGGAGGGCAGTGGTGAGGTTGAGACAGAGGCATTTCCACTGCATAGACTCTTTAAAACTGAACTAAACTCCATGATTCGTTTAGGACTGTTTTCAGAGATTTAGGAAGAAAAGCAAATCAGTCAGTCAGTGATATAATTTCTGGATACCATGCGTAGTGCTACACAATAATCTGCAAGGCACTTATTCTGGGAAAATCTGAATTAAAAGATTAAGTCTCTTTGGTCACTGATAGGCACATTATAATCACACAAGAAGGTAGCAAAGCCCCATTTCTTCTGTTGGATATGTAATAATGTCAGATGAACATTTCTGTTCTGGCCTTTCTTCTTTTCTTATTTTTTAAAAGAGATAATACTCTAGGATACAAGATAGACAAGTCAATCAGAAGTCTTTTGAAAAGTCTACTCGCAATGAGTAAAGGAATATAAAAGACAAGTGAAGTATCTAAAACTACATTAGCACAAATTCTGTCAGATCTCAAAAAGAAACTGGTTCTAAACTACAGAACCATGCATCCATTTCCCCAGGAGGCTGTCTGTCCATCTGTTCATCTCATCATTCATCTATCCAGAAGACAGGCAAGTGATGTCTAATCTATGCCCTGCATCGTGCTTCAACTGGGGACAGAAGAGGGAAACTAGACAGACAGACATGGACCCTCCCTCATCAGACCTCACAATCTATGGTAAAGACAGACAATTCAAAAGCTATCAGCTACCATGTAAAGTTGCCAAGAAGACACAGGGCATGATGCCATGTGCAAAGATGCAGGGACTTACTAAGATGCCAAAAGTCCCAGCCCTTTGGAGTCTCGCCTCTTAAGTCTTGAGGCTCCTGTATTCTCACTGCTAGACTGACAGAGGCCCGCTCTGATGCACAGGCCCCAGGCAAGAGAACTTCCTGCCTCTGACAAGGATACTGGAAGGGAGAACAAAAGCAAAACCAGATCATGTTCCAGGGCAAAGAGAAGATTAGAACTGATCTGATCTAACTCTTCCATTTTACAGACATGTTGACCGAGTTCAAGGACAAAAGTCTGACTTGTCACATGGCACAGAGCTGACTACGACACACACAAGCCAGACGTCAGTTTTCCATTTACCACTCTACCCTTCCTATCACACCATGAGACTACCGTTAAGCACACCAAACCCTCCTTGAAGTAAAAATCACTGTGGTATTTTTATTTCTTGTTCTTTTTATAATCTAGCAGTAACTAAAATCAGAAAACTAAATGAAAGCTTTCCTTTTCCATTCATTATCTAAGTCTCTGTTTTCTGTTCCTAAGATGAATAGTTTTTAGCTCTTTCATAAAACCTGAGATATTCCCAGAAGGACGTTATGGGACTCACAGGGAAATATTAATCAGATTTATCATCTGGGGTGTTCAGACCCTTAAATTTGTGAGAAAGAAAAACTAATACCCAGTTTTTACTGAAGACACAGGGTACCATCTCACTGTCTCCCAATGACTTAACTTTTGAGTTTAAAAACAAAAGAGGAATCGGTGCAGACTTAGGCACATATGCCTCTCCTTAGCCATAAGCATCACAAGAAAACATCCTTGTTCAAGTGGCTGCCTACAATTTATCCTGCTAAGAGATTCACTTAATTTGAAGAATCAAAATATAACGCATTGAGAAAAATAAAAAATAGATCCCAGCCTCAGGTAGCCAATTTAAGCAAAATGAATGATTAAATTTCTCATTCAGAAACTATCAGTGGATAAATCCCTTATCCCAAGCTGAATTCACTACAAAGTTATATTGGATGAACAAGTCACCGTATGATGACTACAGCTAATAATGTCATGTCATATAGTTGAAATCTACTAAGAAAGCAGGTTTCAGGTGTTGCTATCATCAAAGGAAGAGGAGTGAGTAGGATCTAAGAGGCAAGTGTGTTAACCTGTTGGCTATAGTAATCATTTCACTGTGTACATCAAAACATTATGTGTACACCTAAATATATACAATAAAAATAAATGTAAAAAGAATGAGTATATATTTTAATAAAACATTTTTGTAAATTTCTAAAACAAGTGATAAATCAAAAAAGTCATTTTGAATGCTCAACGTCCTTAGCTTGAAGAAGGATTTATACAGCAATTAGTACCCGGTGCCATGAATAATTCAGGTGCAGACATGGTCATAGAGGCTGGGACCGCATAAGCCTGAATATGAAATCAACACCTAATCGGTTGTATTTATGACCTTCCATCCAAACTTAAACCCGCAAGTTATGAAAGGGAGTCAAGTCTGCCTAGTTTAAATAAAAATAAAGGTACAGCAACTCATTTAAAAAGTCACTTCAACTGTCCTTGAGTCTGCGTGTAATTAGAAAATTGACTAAACATTTCTGTTTCATAGAAAGATACAAGTGATGTGAACATTTCACAGGGGAGCAAGAGTTACAGAGTGATGGCCAGGTAGGGAAGTGGAGGCTCAGTGACCATTTGCAGCCATCTGAAAATGCTTTTGAGGTGAGGCAGAGAGGACACAACCCAGAATATGAACCCGCTGCTTCCTCTAATCTTGGGTGGGTCCCCAGAAGCCATACCAATAATGATTTGGTTCATCTTGGCCTGCCCCTTTGCAGAGCTGGCCTGCAGTCCTTGATGGATTTGGAGTGCAGCCAAGTCAAAGAGGTCCAGATAATCTTCCACAGGATAGCGGTCTCGAAGTCCATCCCTCAGGCGGACAATTCCTACAGAAAGCAAGAAGCAAAAATTGGACGATGAAGTTGCCACTGATAGGGTGGTAGCTTCCTACAGCAGCCAGAGAAGGAGAGAAAGTTCTAACAAGTCCAGCTATAGCAGCAAAAGGCTCAGGCTAGGTAAGCATCAAGAAGGGGTACATGGGGTAGAGGTGGGGCCTCTGCCTACCAGTTCTCTTCTTGCAATGCATGTACACTTCAAGGGGTAGAGGACACCAACACTTCTGGGCAATGGCTGGCTGCTTAAAGGATGGCACGTGTATTCAAGGGTTATAAATGTGTTTATATGGAGGGCTAGAGTTTAGGGATGGCTAACATGTATACCAGCAAAGTGGCCAGGCAGCAATGGCATACAGGATCCACATGATATTATCAAACAAGAAAAGATGACAAGGCCTCCAGTCAAGAGGAACAGCATTCAATCAACTGCATGGTACATTTCTTCACTGGGGCCCAATCAGCATCTGCCTGGTATTCTACCTCTTGACCTCATTGGTCAAGCAGACTACCATTTACTTGTCTGAAAAAGTAAGGTGAACTAGGTGGAAACAGACTCTGGCATTGGCCACATGCAGCCTAAATTTATCCTTTGCCTTTAAAAAAAGGTCAATTTCACTTATAAACGTTTTAAGAACACATTGCCAAACAGAAGCTACCAAAGTTACTATGAAGTAGAAAGACAATATAAATGGCCAAAAAACAGGAGGTTCACGGTGACACTGAATACCAGCTTCCAAGGCACACCCTGCTTTTCCTCTCTCCTCCCAGTTTTCATTAGGGAGCACCCAATAGTGGGAGAGTGTATTTAGATATGTCTGACAAAAGCATATGGACATGAAACGCTGGCTATTATGGTGGCCACTGTTATTCCAATAAAGAAATATACTCTATTTTTGCTGATACCAGGGTAAACATCAAAAGCATAAAATCAAACATTTTTCAGGAAACATGTTCAGAATTGGTTTAAGGAAAACTTTTAAGATTCTCTTCTGGGTTGTTTATGCAAAAAACACCCTCATGGCCCACCCAGACTTTGGCAGACAACAGGCCATGTATCACCCTTTGCTCCAGTGACCAAATGTCTCCTGGCAGAAAGGAAAGGTCATGGAGAGAAAACAGTAAGCAGAAGGCTACAGGGTGCTTAGGGTTGGGCTGGAGCAGAAACCACCCTACAGAGAAGAAGGATGGTGTCCAGGGTCAGCAGGAAAAAGGTATGGAAAGGAAGATCGCCAGTGTTTTATCTTTTGGATTTCAAACCAAAACATACGTTGCAAACAAGTCAGTCACTGAAACTAAGGCACAAGGCATCTGTGTTTCTACCAGATATGGAGGCGCCAGTGAAATAGCACAGAACTAGGCATCAACCATCCCAGACAAGTGGGTTGCTTCTATTGACCAAGACTCCAGCGTGTGTTGCTCACCACCAGTCATGAGCCAAGACTCTTCAGGACAAGAGCTGCCCATTCCACACCTGTCTGTATTCTGCATACAGCTAGTAATCAATCAATGCTTTTCAGGTGGTTAGAAACTAGCTTTCAACCCTTGTGGGTCTTTGCCTATAAACCGTTGCTATGTTTTGGAAACAGTTTGAGTGTGTTCTACAAAGGTTCATTTGCTGTAAGGTTGATCTCCAGTGTGGTGATGTTGACAGGTGACAGAGTGTTTAAGAAGTGGGCTTAGTGGAAGGTGATCGGGTCACAGGTATACTGCCTGGAAAGGGATTAATGCTAAACTCTTGGGGTGAATGAGTTCTTCCCAAAGTGACTTATTACAAAGTGAAGCCACCCAGCACTTAGCTGCTTCTGCATTTGGCCGTTTTCCTTTCCCTGCAATGCTGACATGCAGCCAGGGGATTCTTTCCAGATCTTCAGCACCATACTTTGGGCCTGGGGCCTCCAGAATCTTAATCCAAATAAATCTCTTTTTCAACTATTCAACCTCTAATATTTTGGTACAGGAACACAAAATGGACCAATACAACTGCCTAGTGGCAGATGAAGTGTCAGATCTCTGTATCTTAGCACGTCTTCTCATCTCCCGTCCTGCTTCCTAAGGGAGCCTCACTTTGGCCCCAGTCCCAGCTCTGAAGTGTGCTGAAGGAATGAAAGAGAGAACAAAATGAGAGGAGACAAGGAACTAACCAAACCGTTTACGAGTCCACCAGTGTGGCTCTTTGATGGCAGAGAATTTCACTTCCGGGTGCAGCCGGAGGCGGTCATACAGGTCAGTGGTCCCACACTTGGGCTGCCCAATGATGTAGAAGTGTGGCAGGCAGCGCAGGCGGAAGTGCTTCCCGTGCACATGTGACAGGTGGCCCCAGAAGGCCTTGCGCAGGGCGTGGAACGTAGAGCGGAAGCGTTTGGAGTAGAGCACATAGGAGTTGGTGAGGTAGGGGTCGGTGGTGTTTCTCCCAGAGAACTCCTCATACCAGCAGGGGCTCTTACTGTTGGGAAGGAATTTACTGGGGATGACTGAAAACATCTGAAATGAAACAAAGGATGGAAACATGCCAAAGGAAAAGAACAATTAGTGAAAACTCATTCTAATCACAGTGTAATTGTGCCCTAAACTGGATTACAGTGTTCAGAGTTGAACTATATTTCACAATGATTCAAAGATAAAAGAACGCTAAAGTTAGTAGATAGCCAATGGCTATTTATGTTTCCTTTATTCCAAAATACATTTTTAAAACTTTTTTTTGAATTTTTTGAATAGGGAAGATAAAAAGTTTAAGCAATTTGATTCTACCATGATTTATATACTATACACAACACACACACACACACACACACACACACGGCAATCTAAACAGGTGGAAAAATTTTTTACTAGTTTACATTTAAATCAATTTTAGAATCAAAAATAGAGATTTGGAAAAACAGAAGAAAAAGTCAAATTGCACTCAGCTTTCTAAATGATGGTGAACTGAAAACTCAACTTTAACCACCACTACTGGGTTCCAAGCAAGAAGTCCTAGAATGCAATTTTGAGGAAAGGTGGTTCTTAAATACTTCTATCTAGGCCATTCAGAACATCAAATTCCCTTCTGAGTGTCCCATAGGATAAACAGTGTGTCCTGACTCACAAGTTTGTCAGATTATCCTTGCTATGGCTGAGAAAATTTTCAGTCATTCTCTGTGTTCCCAAAGATGGCGATAGGAAAGGATATATCATTTTTTTAAATCAGTCAGTTGAGCTCAACACAGTGCTACTCACATGCAACTCCTGCCTCTTGAGATCTTGCAAGTCTGGGAGCTGTCTGGTCGTGAACTCGATCCTGGCTCTGATGTTGTTGATAATTAGTTTAATGCTTGGATAGTCCTTCACATATGAAATATTATTTAAAGAGTGTTGGTAATGATGCTCTTTCATATCACTGGGGTTTTCACCATCCATCAAGCTAGGATTGTTGGGGAATCCTCCATAATGGAAAGGAGATGAGATGAGAAGTTCCTGATGGGCTCCAGAAAGGATGTAAGAAGCCATCACCAAGGTCATTATTATCAGTCCAAAAATAAGGCTACATTTCTTGCCCTTTTTAAAGCGCAAAAAACTTCCCCAGTTCTCATTCCCTTCGGTCCTCACTTCAAGAACAGCAAGCAAGTTCATCTGCTTACTGTCTACACGAAACAGAATTTTATTTTCTCCTTTGCACGTGGGGCACGCCTGGTGGCTGTGCTGGAGGCCTTCTTGACAGCCAACCTTCTGTTTGTGTGCGTTGTCTGGTAACAACTGTATGCAGCAATTAAGGCAGTGCCTCATGGTAGTGCCCTTGGACTGCTGGCTTAGTGAGCCATGGCAGACCCCCAAGGCGTCCGGACACGTGTGACCGTGCTGGGAATCTTAATGACTTTTTTTGATTCTATAAGATAGTCAGAAAGCAAAGGCAACAGAAAAAAATATCAAAATGAGCAGCCAGCAACCCACTAGAGAATAAGGAAGTACATTCTTTAGCTCAGTTCTGAAAGACAGCGAAAGGAAGTGATCTCTAATTGTCATGTTCCATTGGAGACCCTGAAATGTGGAAGTTGTCAGGAGTACAGGAGTAATTCTGCCTGTCCTTCAAGTTTTTCCCATTGCACAAAGAAAAGGAAGAACAGTATCACTGGAGAACATGGAGACACACCAGAGATTTGAAGATATCATGGTCTTCTCATGGGCAAATGGCCCAACACAGTATCCATGGAGATGCTGGGAAGATTTCTACTTTTGCATTCTGTGTCCCTTTGGGATGTTTCCTCTTCATTGAGAACAAATGCTTTAAATGGTCAGATTACCTGAACATAAATAAAATGAGACTTATTACATGATGTAGTAACAGTCAAAACCCAGGAAAAAACAGATGTTCATTTTTCTTTTTCATTTCTTACTTTCAGCCAAACTGGCATGGTCACAAGTAAGTCAAGAAAATCATACAGGATAAAAGGGAGGCTCCAGGTCCTTGGGCGTGGCTTTGGGCTTCAACCTCTGCCACTAAATGTGGTCCTAATAACTGGCATCATGTCCAACACCTCACAGTGTGCACCGTCACCTCCCTCCCATATTCTCTAATACCTTTGCCATCACACATCTAAATTATGACAGCTTAGAATCCTACCCAGGACTCTGCAATCATTCTCAAATTTGGGCAGTCACAGCTATGAATTTGAGAGATGAACTGAAACATCAGTGGTGTTTATATAAAAAATATAGAGAATAATTATAGAGATGTATAGCATGAGAACAAGCAGAGTAAATAGGGTTTTCTTCCTTACCCTCCCAATCTGTTACATAGAACTAGCCTTTAATATCAGTTTTGGAAGCAAAAGTTAATGAAAATTTAGAAACAATGAAATGATTCTCTCCTTCAGTAGAGTGTATCATATGAAAAACCATTTGACTTTAAGTTATTAAGCAATTAAATCCAATGTACAATATTCCCCTGAGCAGTGAATACTTCAGACCCTGAAACAATTTTTCATTTTCATCCTCCTAGGGAAGACATGATTCTTAAAAATCCATTAGCACAGTCCTGTGGTTGTAAAATGTATTGTTTCCCAAATGACATTTCTTTGTAGATATTATACAAGGAGTACTGAATGAGCAAAAGGCAACCTACTTGGTTTCTAGCCCTTGTAGACCCCAATGACCAGCATTCTGACCTAAGCTAGCCATTCAACCTCTCTTGGTTTCCTCACAAGTAAAATTAAAATAAAAGAGGACATAACAAAGCAGAACAGAACAGAACAATTTAAGCAACACAGTATTTCACCACAAGACAACCCGATATAACAGTAGTTACCATAATATCTCTTTCCTCGAAATAGTTGAGCGTACCTTCATATACAATAGTATCAAACATAAAAAAATAGCATAAAACCATTAAAGAGAATGAAAGTATTACAGGGCATTCAGAACCAAATTACAGAAAATGAACAATGGTTACTATATTATCCCATTGTCCATAAAATTTTGTTTATACTACCACACATGATAAAATCCAATAAGATACTACATGATAGAACCAATGGAAACAGAAGAACAAAAGTATGGTAGGACTTCAAAACAAGTTGATATTAAATCAGCACTGGCTATTATAATGTCTTGTTTTCTTCAAAATATCTGTTCATACCATCACAGATAATAAAATCAAACAACCCAGAATAAAACCATTCCAACTAATGAATGAAGCATTGTAAGATTCCAAAGCAATGTAATGGGGAATCATGATTACCATAAATTTTATGTACTCTCACCATTTCTTACACTAGGCAGACTATACAGTGAGTTTGATTTATTGCGCTTATGAATATGGTCTCAAGTTGCATCCACTTATTTATAAATATCTCAATGTGATCACTCTTTATAGCTGCATGGTACTCCATTGTATAAAAATACCACAACTTTTTTATCCATTCCGTAGTTTTTGGACACTTAGGTTGTTTCCAAGATCTGGCTACTACAAATTGTGCTGCTATAAACATGGGTGCACATATATTACTGTGGTATCATGTTTTCAGTTCTTCTGGGAATATGCCTAGAAGTGGTATAGCTGGATCAAATAGGATTGCCAATTCCAGCTTTTTGAGAAATCTCTAGACTGACTTCCACAATGGTTGCACCAGTCTACACTCCCACCAACAGTGCAGGAGAGTTCCTCTCCCCCCACCCCAGCCTCTCCAGCATTTGTTGTTTGTAGTTTTCTTGATCCTGGCCATTCTTTCTGGAGTGAGATGGAATCTCAGTGTGGTTTTAATTTGCATTTCCTCTAATGACTAATGATGATGAACATTTTTTCATGTATTTATTTGCCATTTGTATTTCTTCATCTGAGAAGTGTGTATTCATCTCAGATGCCCATTTTTGGATTGGATCTTTGAATTTCGAGGGTTGGATTTTTTTTAATTCTTTATATGTTTTAGACAGAAGACCTCTGTCTGAGGGACAGTTCACTAAGATTTTTTTTCCCAGTTTGTGGGTTTTCTTTTCACTGTGCTAGAGATTTCTTTTGCCATGCAGAAACTTTTTATTAAGACATGATCCTAGGTACTGATCCTGGGAAGTATTTCCTGTGCGATTCAATTCCTGTTCATGAATTCTCTACCTACCCCTATGTCTTCAAGATTTTTACCCAATTTTTCTTCCAACAGATTTAGTGTTTCTGTTTTAATATTCAGATCTTTGATCCATTTAGATTTTAATTTAGTACATGGTGATAGGCATGGGTCTAGTTCTAGTTTTCAGGATATAGAGAGCCAGTTTTTTTCAGCACCATTAGTTAAAGAGACTGTCGTTCTTCCAGTGAACCTGTTTGGCTTCTTTATCAACGGTAAGGTGGCTGAGTGTGTTTGTAGTTGTGGTTGTATCTTCTAATCTAGTCTATTGATCTTCAGATCTGTTTTTATTCCAGTAGCATGTTGATTTTATTACAGTTGCTTTGTAGTATAACTTCAAGTCAGGGATTGTGATGCCTCCTGCCTTGCCTTTGCTGCTTAGAATTGCCTTTGCTATTCTAGATCTCTTCTGGTTCCAGATGAATTTTAGGAGTAATTTCCAGATGATTTAGAAGTGAGGTATGTTGATGGTATTTTCATTGGGATTGCATTGAATCTGTGTAACAGTTTTGGGAAAATGGCCATTTTTACAATATTTATTCTTCCTATCCATGAACAAGGGATGTCTTTCCATTTTCTGAGATCCTTTGCAATTTCTTTTTCAGGGTATTATAATTTTCCATGTATAGATGTTTTACTTCTTTTGTGAGATTAATTCCTAAGTATTCCATTTTTTTGGATGCTAGTGTGAAGGGTGTGGCTTCTCTTATTTCTCTCTCAGTGATTTTGTTGTTAGTGTATAGGAACGATATTGATTTTTGAGTATTGATTTTGTATCCAGCTACACTGCTAAATTTATTTACTATATCTAGGAGACTTTCAATGGAGTTTTGGGGGTCTTCTATGTAGCGTATCATGATAATTTTATTTCCTCTTTTCCTATCTTTATCCCTTTTATTTCTCTCTCTTGTCTAATTGCTCTGGCTAGTATTTCCAGTACTATATTAAATAGGTGATAAGGGACATCCTTGTCTTGTGCCTGATTTTAAGGTAAAGGCTTTCAGTTTTGGGCCATTTAATATGATGCTGGCTGTTGGTTTGTCATAGACAGCCTTTTATCATATTGAGGTAAAGACCATCTATTCCAATTTTCTGTAAGGTTCTTATCATGAATGAATGTTGGACCTTATCAAAGCTTTTTCTGGATATATAGAAATGATCATGTCATTCTTACTTTTGGCTTTATTGCTATGGTGGATTACATTTATTGATTTACATATCTCACAAGTAAAATTAGAATAATAAATGTGTCCATTAGAAATCAGTAACAAGTACTAAATTAGTTAATATATATGTAAATAGTTTGCATAATGTCCGACCCATATTTAGCATCCCATACGAGGTAGATAACTAGTAATAATAATATCATCGTCAACTATATTATAAATTTTAATTGTCAGTCAATGCCAAGACCATTTGAAGTGCAATGAAAAAAACAACAGATCCCCTGTCACATTTTTTCTGTAGGGACTGGAATTACCTAAAGATGGCAGACTCACCTTCAACTCTGCACACATCCTCTCCTCCAAAAATCTTTATTGTCCCTAGAGAGGTGCCAACAAACAAGCCTTCAATGGAGCCTTTCTTTTTAAACAGACTAGAGGACTGAAAAAATCAAGATCCACTAAGAGAAATTTTCACTTTTCTTGAACCAAAAGCTCATGTTTTCTTGAATTATCTTGGTCAAAAAATAGCCAAGCAGTATTTCTGAAAATGTCTTCCACTCAAAATGTTCTATGTGCCATCAGCAAGTATGTTTGACTAAATTATTTGGAGAAAAGGTGGGATGGACACAATTACACAGAATTCTTTACAACAGGGATTTTAGTAGCCACAAAGCTCTGAAGGTCCATACTGAATAACGTAATACAAGAATTTGTGAAACATAATTGGCCACTGAATTTCTCCCTCAGGTCTCAAGTCTGAAAAGTGCTGGTCAGGAAGGACTGAGTTGAGAGATGGGCACAGGTAGGGTATTTACAGCAGAGTAGAGAAAAGAGGGGGAGAACCTGTTCCTCTGTCCCAGGAGACCAGGCCTACATCTGATTCCACTGTCTCCTCTTATATCCCCTTAGGGCAACTGGACAGACGCATCAGGGACCTCAAGGCTCAAACCTCTGCTTCCAACTTGCTCAATCAGCCCTGACTCATTGCTGGGTACAAACAATTTTGCCAAACCAAAGAAACAAAAGGGCAAGATCCCCTACTTGGAAACTCCATCACTAAAGCCAAGAAAACATTCCTTCACGTATAGAAGAGGAGGCCAAATCTGGCTTAAAATGAGACTCCCATCAGGAGCTCCGCAGGAGGGTTTGCACTGCCTTTCTGCTGTGGAAGGGCTAATTAGACTCTTTTTTCTTTTTAAACAAACAAACAAAATGGACTTTGAAGCCACAGACAAGAATATACATAATATGAATACAACAAAATGGGCAAAACGTTTCTAACCAAAACTAAAGGTGTCCTATTTAAACAATGTAAATAACTTGATGGGTTTGAGGGGTGATACTTTCAAAGTTTGGGGTGAGGGGTAGACTGAACGTGATGCCTGGCCACACATCTCTCTGAACAGCTGCACCTCTGGCCACACTGGCTGTTCTACAGCTCATTTCTTAAACATAAATAACCAAGAAGACAATTCAAGATGATTTACAAGCCTTTAGAAAACACTCAAATACAGTAAA